AAAAAAAAAAAAAGCATACCTTTTTTTTAGTAAGCCTTAGTTTTAAAATAATATACAGCTTCTAATCCTAGCACTTTGGGAGGCTGAGATGGGCAGATTGCTTGAACTCAGGAGTTCGAGACCAGCCTGAGTAAGAGAGAGAACCGCATCTCTAAAAAAAAAAAAAAAATAGCAGGGCGTCGTGGTGGCACCTGTTGTCCCAGTCACCTGGGAGGCTGAGACCAGAGAATCACTTGAGGCTAGGAGTTTGAGGTTGCTGTGAGCTATGAAGGCACAGCACTCTACTGAGGGCAATATAGTGAGACTCTGTCCCCACCAAAAGTAAATAAAATAACATACAGCTTGAAAGATTCTCTTCAAGATGCTACTTTTGAAATTTCTGCTATTATTTCAAATGGGAACCAGAGGGACTGGGCCTAAAATTACAGATTAAATGTACAGTTGTTTAAAGATTTTCTTACTACTTAAGTCAGCCAAAATTTTTCTCATACTTTGTATTTTTAATATGAAATATTTTATCAATCAAAAAATTACCTTCTGATAATTAATTGAGGGCTCAGATATCTTCTTTATGACTTTTCTGAGATGCTCTGGGGAAAAAAAACAGAAAGTAGCAAAATTATTTTTCTAGTAAACATATGAAATGTATATTTAGGAAAAAAGTCTATGCTTAAAAATTATTAGACTTACATATTATTTTTATGCTCATATTCCTATTTATTAATGTAGGTGAATAATTATGAGCCTCTAGCCAGACACCAAGGACAGATGACAGACATCTGGTTTATTATTTGCCGGTGGCAGAATGAGCGTGGCCCTAAGAGTTCACAATGCAATTTCACAGTAACCAACATGGCACTTATAGCTCAATGACCACTAACAAAACCTTACACTTCAGTCACTACTTCTTGGTGATCCAAAACCTAAAATGCAATTTACTTTTCAATAATTCTCCCTTTGCGTATTATTTTACAAATGAAAGGAATCTTAAAATTCACCCGATCCAGGAGTTCTTCGCACAGGAAATCCTGCTCTTCCCATCTCTAAGTAGCATATGAAAACCTGCAAATTCTATGGGAAATTGGGACTTTTTCTGTATATATTCATTTTGGGTGTAACAAGGGCAGCTTTTTCTAGGGGGCATCAGGTCATTCTATGGCATGCTGCTGCCCAGGCGTGGCTCTGGGCCCCCTCCTGCCCACACACAGCCAGCCCCTTCCCACTGTGTGGCTGGGGAGCCCCTGTGAACCCCAGGAGGGGGCTATAGTGGACAGCAGCAGCCTGTCTGCAGCAGTGGGGTCTGCAACTCAGGGCCTGCCCAGCTCTGTCCCTGTCTCTCACACACACACCTCCAGGTTGGGGGCAGCAGGTGCAAGACGTTCCCTGTGTCCTTCCTACTGCACCGACTTGGGCCGCCTTCAACACCACGTGCAGCAGGAGCTTCTCCGAGGGCCAGAGAACAGGGCTCGGCCCCGGTGAAGTCCAGTCTCTAACCTCTAGCAGGTGCTCCCAGCCGCTCCTGGCAGCCTTGGGTATGCTAGGAACAGTCACAGCTACATCCAACACTGCCCTGACCCAGGCACCTGACCCTGTTGGCTGCTAGTGGGTTCGGTCCCTCTGCCAAGCCCCATTCTTGCTATGGTGGGCTGAGCCGCCCTGTATAGAGGAGGGAGATGAACCGTCATCAGTGACAACTCCTGACAGCCTGAGTTTCCCGAAAAAGAAAGGGCAGCAACTGGTCCCCCCCACCAAAGGGGGACGCTGATGGCAAGGGCAGGAGAACACACCAGCTCTGAAGACAGCTGATCTCAAAGGAAGACCCTGAACCACCCAGGGAAAGCTGGTATATCCCGGTGTCCACTGCATTAAAAGGCCAGCAAAGAAATGCCCTCTGAAAAGATTTCCCTTGAAAATACCAGAACCAAAGAGGTTTGTCACTTGAAAGATTATCACTTTCCTGAAAAATGCACTCACCACCATCGCCCAGCAGCTCTGTTTGCTTAGATATTTCATTTCTGCTGTCTCTACAGCACAAGGACACCACCTGCCCCCTCCGGGGTTCACATTTTCCCTTGGGTGGCATGGGTGAGACTGAGATCAAAGAAGTGATTTGGCGGGGGGGACACAAACAAGGCCACTTCCTCCAGTCCTGGGGTTCACCAGACTTCATGGCTGAGCAGATTTCCTTCTGCTGAGTCTTTCTGGACTCAGAACCTCAGTGACACACATTTAAAGAGCCCATCCTGCTGGCAACAGACTGCAGTTGTCAGCTTCTTGACGCATTTTCATTTAAATCCTCACACCAGCATGACTTAACTCTTTTTTATTCAGTTTTTGGCTGGAGCTGGGTTTGAATCCACCACCTCCGGTATATGGGGCTGGTGCCCTACTCCTTTGAACCACAGGTGTCACCCATAACTTAACTCTTAAGTTTGGCCTTTAATAAAAGGATTGATGCTTCAGATTTCGAGAAGCCAAGTCACGTTGAGGGTTATCAAATGTACCCCTGCCCCCTGAGTGTTGCTATATAGCAAAGTGCTGGGAGAGGGACAGCCCCCCACCCCACCCCCGCCTTTATGTAAACACAGTGTCAACACCCTTTCACTGCACTTTTTCCCTATGTGATGTTGTGACCAGAGAAAAAGGATCCAGCCACCTGTCACTGTCAGCCAAATGCAGAGATGGACGTGAGGTCCAGCAATCTGTAGAACAGTGAGAACAGCCTCTCCAAACCTGTTCCATTCCTCCAAGACCACAGTTTTATACATAAGGGTTCAAAGCGAGGGCTTATGTTAAACCCTTATGTTAAACAACAGGAATTGCCTCGGCACCAGTTAATGCTGCATTTACAAAACAACATGAATGGGAGACGTGAGGCGAAGGTCAAGGTCACAGAGGACCGGCCAGGCCAGACCAACTGTGCCGTCTCAGCTCCAGCCTGTTGACTCCATCTTATTCTCAGTGACACCAGTTAGCAGGCGACTGTGCCATCAGTCCCTCTCCATGCACCTTCTCTATGCCAGACAGACACACGCTGGCTTTTGCTAGAGTTAACAATGGCACAAAGTCACTCTCGGAGTAAAGAGCGTGGAAGGAAGGGCCCTTCAGCTTTCTGCCAGCCAAGTGCCCCCGGCCATGAGTCGACAGTGGTTATTCTACCTTGATGCTGAGAACGACCTTTGACCATTCCACTTCCTTTGGGCCCTTAAATTGCACAAGCCTCTCTAGGCTTTGGAGAGATCCTGGAATCCTTGGAAAATCTGTGCCATCACAGGCAGGGCTGTGATGGGCCAGTGCCCAGTGTTGTCGCCCCCGGCGGTGCTCCCTTGGCAGAGGCAGGAGAGTAGGCCCGGTCAGAAGAGCCAAGGTATCTGTGGAATCCCCCGGCATTCCCTCCCCCGAGACCTTCCTGGAAAGAGTTATTCCATTTACAGTCTTTGTTTTCTGCTGTTTATCAGAAAAAGTTGGTCAGCAGGACCTTTGAAAGGAATATGGTTGGAATCATGCTTCTGGGTCTGTACCAAGGTCCACATGCTCCCACGGACACTGCTGGGAGAACAGGGAGCGACCGGCTCCCTTTGTTCCTCTGACAAAAGGCTCAGCTATTGCCAGCGGCTTCCCTACCTAAAAAAGATTTAAGGTAGGATCAGGGCAGAGCGAAGGGGGCCCTCGGTTCCCTGGTGTGTACTTGGAGTTAGCCTGAATATTTTTTAGAATATTGAAAAATGTTTAAACAAAATGATTTTATGACATACCTATCTACCCTCCCCCCAAATACAAAAACTCCATTTGTTCTTAATACAATGAAGGTAAAAATTGTGGTTCCTGTAAGTAAATCAGACACCGCTGCATCTTATGCAGGTTATGCGTCCCACAGCCACTTTTACGGCACGTCAGCATATGGTATTTGTCTTCAAAAACCTACCGATTTCCAGTCGTCATCGTGTTAAGAGGGATCTCATCTCCTTCTATTTTTATATATATTTTATTTATTATTGTTACTTCTGCCATACATCTGTCCCGTCGCAGTTCTCTGAGAATTCTCCCCTTCCAGCCCCGCTTTCTCAGAGTGCTTTAGAGGACAGGGGGGGTAAAGAGACGCAGCCGCCTCCTGCGCACCAGGAACCTCCACCCAGCTGAGGGCAGCACAGGGCAAGCCGGCAATCTGGAGTCAGGCAGGACGAGCTTCACGTTCTGGCTCCAGCACTAAAACACTATGTGACTGGTTTGAACACGAGTCAAATTCCAAAAACTCTCTGAATTTCTGAAATCTCTTGATTTCTTCATTTGTGAAATGGAGAAAATGCAAATTGCTATCTTGTGAGCTTATCAACAAGATGAGACGGCCGGGCACGGTGGCTCACAGCTATAATCCTAGCACTCTGGGAGGCTGAAGGGGGTGGATGGCCTGAGCTCACAGGTCTGAGTCCAGCCTGAGCCATAGCAAGAACTCGTCTCTAAAAATAGCTGGGCATTGTGGTGGGTGCCTGTATCCCAGCTACTTGGGAGGCTGAGGCAAGAGAAATGCTTAAGCCCAAG